AGATAACTAAAGATCTGAAGACAGTTCCCTTTTTCGTAGCATGCAGCCAACGAGGTATTTTATTTATCTGTGTTTTACTTTGTAAATGTTATTCCACATGCTGTGCATGTTATTGTTTATGTCAAGCTAACATTGTTTATATTTTGTCAACGTTATTTAGTTTTCACGGTGGAGAGACAAGCTTCAAATAAACCCGTAGAAAGAAAGCCACTTGTGTCTGCCTGTGCTTCGAGGGAGTTATAATATCTTAATCACAGTGGTGTAATATCAGAAAATGGTTGTTGAATCTCTACCGATAAGCTGCTGAAATGTTACAAATACTTTCTTGTAGAAATAACCTTTGGTGAACTTTGACACATGAATTGCCATTGACTAATTGCTGACCTTCTAGGGGATGCAGACACAGAGCGTCTGACTCCACGGTTGTGTCATGTGCCAGCACATCACGAACATTTTACGTAAATCAGATGATGATTGCCATGCAAGGTTTACTTTCTGTTTCCAGTAGTTGGTGCATTTTTGGGCTGGGACTTTTACCAAACATGTGAAATTAGTGGCTGATTGCTATGTTCAAGTTATGGCAACTTCCTGTTACATGGTGAAATGTTGAAATTCGTCGCCACACCACAATAAAACGAAAAGTCACTAGATTTATCACGCAATCAGCAATGTCTTAAGGGTCTTCTGACCAGATTTCATGAGACAGGAACTAAGTATATTAAAAATGAAATCCCTTGATAAATGACTACAAAAACATGAATCAAATATCATTTTTGAAGCTTAAGTTTCTGTTGATTAACTAGTCCATTAACCGACTAACTTTCAGCCCTAGCAGCAGCCAGTGTAGCACACACCACCATGTTTCCAGCATCACCTGTTTCTGGTTTGACCATGCACTAGGAATACATATGATCTGGTTGCACCCTTTGCATTTTTCCATTGTAATTACATTTCAGCAGTGGCAAGAATACAGCCATCTCTGCCAGTACCTTGATCCCTCCCCAGGAGTGGTTGGATAGGAAATCCACTGGTGATGTTACACCTGGTTGGACAGGGTATCTCAGAAGGAAGTCCAGCTCTGCAGGGTTTATTTCTTTATTCATCAGCAGGACCTGGGGACACAAACAAACAGGAAGGACTTCGAAATGCTGTATTTTCAGTGCAAACCACATTTCCTTTCCGGTTGATTAGATCCAAACAGGATCGCTGGTCCCAGGAGCAACTGATTCAGTGGCAAGCTTGTTCTCAAAACAAACCATGCAGAAGATGAAACCGGCTTCCCTTCCTACCTGGAAGGCGAGCTGAGCGATGTACGTGAGCTTGTCACACTCAAACAGGCCTCTGGTGGTGTACTGGAAAACCGAGGAGGTGATGCTGTCAATTAGGTTGGACACCCGCTGCTTTAGAGCCTCGTCCGGCTCGGCCTTCAGAACCGCTTTCTGGAAGACCACACTGAACGCCTGGGGGACGCACAGGAGCAGGTACAACACTTAGCACTGTCTCAGTATCTGACATCAAAGTGTTAGAAGTACCAAGGTGACAATATTGTTTAATATTAGAGTCCACAAAAAATCGGTCAGTGTCATTCACCTGACATAATGGATATGATGTGGTTTGTTCTAAAGATGAACTAATCAATAACACTCTCGCTGTTTATAGAAAGCCCTTAACTGTAATGGACTGAAATGTGTTCTGAGTTCATGCAAGTATTCATGAATGTGTTACACAGCAGATTTTCCGATATTTCTTTATATTTCTAATGGTCAACAAATCCCATGAATAAACAAATACCAACAAGAAATGTATCTACTATCTAAGTACTGTGTGTGTATCCAAAGGCTGGTCTTTCTTCCTCTGTGCCATAGAGCTCCATTGTTGTCAAAAACACATCAGTGAGCCACACTGTTGCACTGGGTGACATGTTCCTTCATTAGAATGAACACACACACTGTAGCTTATTTTGACTCAATCCCACATACACTGTCCTGCTGCCACCAGAGCACCACATGTGTATTAATCCACAGCTGCAAATAGTCCCAAACAAATGCAAAGCAATACACTTCAACCTGTTTGAGTAATGTTTGCTAATGACCGTATTCTGTTTTGGGGAATTACTGAGATTAAAAAAAAAATTATATTTGTGACCCTTTTGCTTGGGGGCAGCAAAACAAGCTGTAAACAACTGACATGTCATTATTTTATAGAGTTTATCTGGTGGATATGCTGTGTTTCTAGCCACACAGCAAATGTTAGCCCAATATCCATTTTACATTTAGCTCTGTTTTGGTCTCCATCAGCTCAGAGAAAAATATCTGACTCCATGTTCCCCAGCTAGTCTGCTGTTTGGTGCTGGGCAGGTAGTGTACAGTGGATTTTTTTTTGCTGTTTTTGCTTTTGTGCCTGCTGCTGCTTGAAACAAGGTTGATGAGTACTGTGCGAGGGGGACTGCAGATTCTGGTTCAGAATTTGCTGTAAAATAGGATTATTATTGATCTCTTTCAGATTACTCATCTGTACGGATGCCCAGGCAGACAAATAATAAAACAATTCTAGTGATCCAGTCTGATTTCAATTTTCTCTCAGATGGAAATAAAACGTTTTGCTGGGTTAATGTCTCCATGTAGTCTAACTACAAGGTTCAGATATTGTGTATTAGCAAGTTATGTAAGACTACAGTTATGCCTCCCTTTTGGTTAGAAATGTATTCTAAGAGAAATTAAAACTCTTCTGGAAACGTGCAATTGTTATAATTGTGTTAGTTTTGCTCTTTTCAAGGGATTTCTTGTCAAGAAGCAAAACATACAAGAATGCCAGCCTTGACCTTGAGACCTTGGCTGTTGTTAATTGTATAAGTGGTATAAGGATCTCTTTAAATAGGCTGTGAACAGAGAAAAGTGTAGCGCAGTCACCTTTGAAATGTTTTTGTAAGATTCAACTTGTGAAAACAACAGCACAAATTAATTGTAAAATATAGTGTAAAAGTGTAAATTGGAGAGACTATGAATTGAAATGTAGCTAAAGAAATAGAATAATTGTCATTATCTTGGACTCTGTGTGCTTTGGTGTCATTTCTGTCAGTTTAGCAGAGTCACACTTTGTTCTAACCCTGTGTGAAGAACACATATTACGTATTTCATTTTATTCACAAGGTCAAAGGTGTGTATATACTCTGAATGTGTTTTCATTTGATTATGTTGGGAAATAACTAACAGGGCAGCTACCTGCGAAGTCGGGAGTGATTGCAAACCATATCTCAGGCTGCCTCCTCTCAGCGCTCGCTGGCTGACAATATGAAAGACATTACGCTCTACATAACCACATTAGGGAGCCACAAACACAATAAAAGCAGGGCAAAGAGCATAAAACACAGTGAGCAAATGGAAGGAGGAGGGGAGGAACAGAGGAATGAGTGTAAAGAGGGGTCTCACTGAGGGCCCAGGAGGCGGGAGGAAACATGGCGTGTCAATAGAGAGGCTACCTTGAGAGAGAACTGGTACATGGGGTGGATTTTATTGAGGTCGTTCATTATGAAGTACAATAAGGAAGCTCTTGCTGCTGCTGGTCGGTAGTGCTCCCGAGCCTCATTGATTTTAGCCTCTGTCACCTTGGCTTCTTTTACCTACAGTAAAGACAGTGCAAACACAAATGGAGTCACACTCACAGACACAGGCATGCATCGGCACAGACACGCACACACTCAAGATTCATCAATCAGCTAATGATGAAATTGTGCACCACCCAATAAAACACCCTCCAGTGAAAAGCAGAGCTGTTCCAATTTCACGGTTCCAGCCAAAATGCTCTCACACTGCGTGGAACACGACAATTACGTGCCACCCCCCCCCCCCTTTTCTTTTTTGCCT